TGTATTTAATTACAGACAAGCACACAAACAAACAATCTCAGAGTTTTAGTAGTATATAAATTTACACTTCGCTAGTAAAATTCATGGTAGTGATATAAATATCTTGTGTTTGCTTAGTTAATGTTGATTTTGTCGATGGAACTTAATATAACAGAAATAAATTGAATTTAAATTTAAACTTTCTTTTACAATAAAATTACGTTGAATATCGTCGTAAACAGCACTAAGAATAAATCAAGAACTCCAAAACTTGCTCTCTGGATAACTCACAGGGAAACTACAATCTATTGGAAGCCCTATTAAAATAGATGAAAACCCGTTCAAGAAAATGTATAAAATATAGCTTCCTTTTCTAGGCTTCTTTTAAACTAGGTATCTCAAAAGTACCGATCTATCTTCGTGGTATTATTAAAACATAGACATTAGACCGACTTTGCACAGAAAGAAAACTCAAACAAGAGTGAGTTAATTAGGTTTATGTAAATATTTCGCTTCAAGTAATTATGTTTCTAGATATTCGAATGTAAAAAAAGTTATGACACGAAATATATTACCGGGGGTCAAGAAAAAGATTAAAAGGAAATCTCACTTTTACCTTTGTTCCGATTTGATACTTTTTATAAGTCGAAACATTTATATTGCACACAAGTGAAAAGGTACTTTACATATATTTAATTTGTATGTAATCTTAAACAAACTATACGTCACCTGGCAGTTCAGTGATAAGTAAGAAGGCTTATAATGCTACAAATCGTGTTTCGATATCCACTGTGTGCTTACTAGCAAATAAAAACAAACAATATATTTCTGTGATGCTATCGACACCTTAAGAATAATTTCATGATATACATTTGAATATCTATTAACTTGTAAGGATATAATTCTAATCAGCCGACTGTCCGAGTTTTGTCTATATTGTTCTCTGTTTTCTAGTTTACTTCAACTTCAAAAAAATATGTTCCATGTTTTTTGGTTTAATATACTCAAGTTCTGGTGGTAAAAATACTATATATTGTGCTATTTAAATACATATCCTTCATTAACATTTGTGTCCATATATATATACGTGTTTTATTTCTAAAATAAAATAAACTTTAAGTTATACTTTTGATAGTGATAGTGTAAACGAACCTGAAAGATTAACCAGTAAATAATACATATTGATTTTATTAAACACAAAATTAAAAATTAACTGGAAGAAAAATCAGCTTACGTTAACTCTACCAACTCTCTTTAAAAGTAAACAAGATTCATTAATTCAAAATTGCTACAAATGTTATATTGTACAACTTATAGAAGCTATGCCGATTCATAATAGCTAAACTTCTTAATAGTATTAACTCCAGCTGTACCATATTCATAAATCGTAAAATGCAAATAAGAGCTTTTATGCATTTCAATCTCGCGATGTAAATTCTCAGGATATTTCTTTGAAACTGTATATCATATTAACATTTTTATGTTTGGTAATTACATTTCGTTTGACCATTGAAAAGGTGTAAGCTTATACGATCAATATTTCCTAAACATATCTTAGATTTACTAATCTAAATAATATAAGCATACAAATATAAATCTTATATTCCTTACAGAATGCTGAATCAATTTTAAATTTTTTTTCTGCTTTATTGCGCAATAAGTGTATTTTCTCCATTGAAAGTCTAAGTGAATAATCTAAAACGCAGTTGTTACTGTTACTAATTAATACATCAGACTACTATCGTTGGTGTTTTAACAATAAAAAGTTCGAGTTGATCATTATTCACTCTAAATCGCCTTTATATACCACTAAAATTGCATTTTTTAAATTATTATAGTTATCGAAGATATAAATCAAATACTCTTATTCACTATAAAACAAGGTTAATTGCTTTCTCGGAAAGATGTTAGACATTTTCTATATGCAAGAACATATATTAAAATAACTATAACACAAAAATTCGACAAACATATATCTATAAGATACGAAATGTTTTTACTTTTACACAGTTGTAAATGCAACGATAATATCTTATACCAGCTTTATTTTTAACTTAAAACACTAAATTTATTTCTGGAAATTATTATATTTCAGATACAGATATTTCTCAGACTTGTTTTATCTAGAAAACGTGCATATAGGTATATAGATATATACATAAATTTATATTACTAAGTATAGATCCCGAACAAGGTCTTGTTTGGAAGGAATTAAATGTTAGTTAACTATGTGTTTAAAGTAATATTTTAAACTTCTATACTATTTAATCGTCAAAGTTAATTACATTTCTCTAAGGCATTAGTACTAGGCCTACTATATTTTTAACACTGCATCTTTATCTAGTCTCTTAGGGATTTTCAAATGTAAGAAGAGTGTATAATAATAGTATTCCAATCACTACCGTGTTTGTTGTGTTCCAGCCGGCCTGATAAGCTCTGGATTGAATGAAATGACAATGAATATGGTGAACACAGAGTGATTGGAATCTATTATTTTACACTCTTCTTATTCTTTAAAATTATTAAGGGATAAGATAAAGAATGCAGTGTTAAAAATGAAATAAGCTTAATACTAACATCTTATGACAAGTATAATTAATTATAGCCATGCTCACACCATAACAATTGTTAAGCATCAAAGTGCTATTTTATGTTATTTATATAGCAAAATTTAAAAATTAATTAATTATTAGTTTTATCTAATATCTGTTCTTTTAAATAGCTTATGTTATTATCGCTTAGCTTAGAGTATAATTTGCTAATTTAGAAGTGCTTACAGCTGATCACAGTAGATTTAGACTGAGCAATTATTTGGCTTCTAAAGTACATGAGTTTATCAAGTTTTTAACAGTTAACTCCTACTATTTCTCTCACACATATAAACAGTTTTTATTGTCTTACGTTTAATAAATGAAAGGCTGTTTAGTAGTTTATATTTATTTTCTTACTCCAAAGTCCAATGTGTTTGTATATATAATTCATTTTTTCAGTTCTTAATTGTTGTGAAACGTAGGACTTTTATAGTATAATGATTTTTGTTCAAATCATTGTACAACGTAAATAACATAAAACATTCTTTGTCAAGTCATACTTAGGTTATTGTAAATATTGGTTCTAATGTTTGCTTTTCAACATCTCGTGAGAAAAGCTTTATAATTTATGATAGAGGTATTGTATGTGTGTCTGATATTAATGATTGTAGTCTGACTGCTATGTTGTAATAGAAAACTTACCTTCATAAAATTTAATGACATGACAAATTTTCTACAGGTAAGATTTTTCAACTACATTTATCTTAGTTTCTATCTAAATCTTCGTGCTTGATTTTCTATTTTAACAGGAACTCGTTGTATATTACTAGCTCCTAAGGCAACAAACTTAATATTTCATGTTAACTAGAGTACTTCTAATGGAAATAAATATATATAAAAGAAACATAACTCCATAAAGTTTTTTATATATGCAGTTAATGTACACACGTGATACCTCATTGATATTTTACTGATGCAGCTATTTCTGTTTCTATCGAATATAGTGGATACAAAGCTTATTATTTTCAAGTAAATGGTCTCATGTAGCATGTAGTCACATATTTACAAGTTGTTATTTTTTTGTAATAACTGTTACTGTTTTTTTTAATATTCACTAACAATTACCTTTCTTTGAAGACCTGGAAAATACAGTGACTTCGAAAATTAAATTACGCAGATTATCAGTGGCTTATTTGGGCTAAAGGTAACATATTAAAATATTGTACTATACCAAATATATTAAAACGGCGTATTTTATTTAATACATCAAACAAACAGTGTTGTAGTTTTGCGCAAGATTCTTTTAGTTTTCCTTTTTTTTGTGAGTCGATTTGTACCATTATATAACGATCGATAAATATTGTTTGTTAAATCAAGACTAAAATAAATGTTAAGAAAAATGTTAATTGAAAAATATACGTACAATATTTTTCATAAAATTCTAAATCTCTCACTAGCCATCGTACAAAATTGAATTTGATAATTGAAATGTCCGGATGATATATTCCCTTTACTTAAGTGTGTACAGGTTTGATAAAACCAGGAGTATATAGATTTATTATTTCTTCACAACGATTTATTTCAATAATCAGTTTATTTTACTTATTTTTGAAAGGGATTGTACTTTAAAAGTGAGTGATAATATTTATAAATATTTTTGTATAAATACATTTTGTAATATGAAAAGTACGGGAATTTCATACGTTGTGGATCCAATTTAAATTTTGATTAAATTCAACTAACTACATAAAAACATGTACCATGATAACAAAAGTCTGAAGAAAAGCTGAAAGTTCTAAAAACGCCTAAATAAAATAAAGAAATATTCATATCTACATCAATACAGATAATGCCAATCCAAATACGATGTGAACACGTGAACCTCACTTATAGAATTACATTAAATTAGACTCGAATGCAAATAATCTAGTCTACGACATTCGACACCAAAACCACCATTCACTGTCTTTAGCCAGGTGAAAAAAAGATAGAGTATTTTGAGAAAAGAGAATAATATGTAGTGTTGAAATTAAGGGCTATGTGTGTTATTCAAAGCAGTTGGAATTAAGAAATTAAACTTAGGAATATATTGCTTGTCTTCTAGCAAAGGTTTTAGTGTTTTATTAATACAAGAAATAACTACTATGGCGGCTAGAATGCAAATTTCATGAAATATATTGTCCATAGTAAACAACCACAATATTTCCATGCCTTTATTTTTCCTTCTTAATTAAAATATTCTATAATTCTCAAGTGAGCGCATATAAAGAAGGTGTGAAACTCAAAAGATGTTTCTCTTAATATTATAAGGGCTATTATAATTCATAAACATATGCCACGAAACTCTTTTTCTTCTATGGCTTAAAAAATAAAATAGGGAATTACTCGTAATCACAGAAGTTTGTGTGCACTGCCAATGACTACTATTTATATAAACTTTTTATCTTCCTTTACTTATAATCATTATATTAAACTATTCTGTGTACGTAGGTTTCGAAGCGGCAATCCCTGGATACGAGAGATACAGTATGCTTGTTGATGTAGAAAGAGGTATCTACAATCTAAGGATTAGAGACTGTAGGCTTGAAGACGAAGGTGAATACCAATGCCAGGTAGGTGAATAAACTGGTTATTTTACTAATATGAAATAGCGTTACCTTACAATTAATTTAATTCTAGAAACCTATTTTATTGATAGTCATATATATATATATCTTAAGTCGATTGAATTGCATGTACTTGTAACGACAACGTATTTTCAGGAATATATTGCAAACAAATTGAGATAAGAGAACAAGAATCTTAAGCGTTATTTATACATAGGGAAGTGTATTCTTTACTCGTATGTTATCTAATGAAAAACGTCAGAGGACAAAAAATTTTAATAAGTTTTGAATTGAGAGCTTTCAACGTAATTTCAACACAGCTATCAAATTTTCACTTGTAATTCAAAGGCAAAAATTCCGTATACATTATATTATATTTCATCTCGATAATTATTCGAAAGTAATTTTAATTCTGTTATAAGTTATTATGTTGGATAACATTTTATATAATGTCACTTAATCGTAAAGACTAAAGAGCAAAATTCATACGAGTAATTGAAGATTCATGGATAACCAAACCACAATATTATCTATAAAATTCGCTGTGACAGTTTAATATTTTTGGTCCTTATTCAACGAAGCAGAAATTCAGTGCTAGTAAATTTTGTTATACCCTGGATTTATCTTGTATAGGTATCTATACTTTAGTGTTATTTGTTTATTGCTAGGTAAATTATTCATATTTACAAGTTTTTTGTTGTTTTTTTTAAATATAGGTTGGGCCAGGTTTTAACCAAGACCCAATAAGAGCACTCGCTCGACTAACTGTGTTGGGTAAGTCTGTGAATTAACAATAAAAAATATATTATATAAATTTGTTCAAATTCAACGTCATAGAAAGTTCATATTAAAACTAGCTTACAAGATGATGCCATTTAGAAATCTAGAATTTTTCTCTGAATATTTTTATTTGATACTTCATTTGATCTGCATTTAGATAGACATCATGTAGACATTTTTACATACAAGATCGTAATTTTACTTAGAACCTTTTCCAGTTATTTACGTAAATTAATATGTTTTAACTTAGTTTTTAACGTCTAGCTCAATTATGACAAACTTTGCTAACTTGTTTATTCTGAGCGCAAACCTGCAGCATGGGCTATCTTACCCTGTGCCGTAGGTAACGAATCCCTGATTTCAATTGTAAAACAACCCTTCAGGAAAGGGGGTCTCATAAATATTTAAGTAAGAAATAAAGTTTCACTTGAAACCTACTCTACATTTTGTTAAAGGTTGCCAAACATAATGTTATGACATCTTCTAAAACGTATTTTATTAACCAGAGCATTATTCAGCAACTTGTGAAATGTCTACATCTGTTTGACCAATAAAGTAGTTTCTTGATTGATTCTTAAAAAAAAATGTTTTGTTTACTTTATGATATATATAAATGTATATATTAATTTTCTTATTCAACTGTAGATATGTTAATTGTGATAGGGACCGAACGTGGTCTAGAGCTTAGTGTGCGAGGGTTACAGATCTGATGTTCCGATGTTTGAACTGAGATTGAGTACCATAGCTGTGACAGTTGGTCCCGCTTTTTATTTAAGAGTAGCTCTTTGATCAACTGTCTGCTATTAAGGATATCCATTTATCAACTTTAGATATTTCTAATTTTGCAATTTAGTCCATGTGTTTTATGAAATCCATCGATGGATTTTGAGTTTTTGGCTTTTACAATTTCTAGCTTATTCATAAAAGTTTTTATCTTTTTAAACACAATTAACTACTTTCAGTGTAATGGGTAATTGCATAGGTCACACCGTGTTTAGTCAATATGTTATTTAACTGAAGGGGAAGATTAAGTAAATATATATTTTTCAAAAACAAATTTCTAAAATCATTGTAAATCATTTGGTTATAAGGTTCTGTAATAGTCAAAACCCAATGGACTAACTGTTAAAAATGCAAAAAAACATTTCAAATAATCATAAATATTATATGAAACATTAATTAATAGATTTTATGACATTGAACGAAACTTTAAATATCATTAAAGTTTGGTTAACTGAGTTACAAGCGAAATAATATCTGCCTATTATTAAACTATTTGTCGTAACTGTATAATTTTAGAAATAAATTATACAGATATAACATTCACAAAGAACACTATTAAGACTTTATGAATATTAGTTAAAAGAGTTAAACTTAAATACTATCCACCTATCCATCCATCCATCAACAGATTAAAGTTGATATACTATTTGATGGAATTGAAGAACGTTCTTGTAACGGTAATATTTCACCTAGATTTCGGTTGATTTTGTTTTGATATTTTACATTCAACATTACGCACCACCTGCCAACTTGATATTATGGCAAAAATTTTCCTAAAACATACACTGTAATTTAAAGAAAAAAAACGATGTGGGATTCCAACAAACATACTTTTTGTTGTTGACAAGGTGAGAATCCATATCTTTGAAAATAGAAATACAGAACAAAAGAAGTTTACACTTCTAGTACATAAGTAAAGATGTGAATGTTGTGTAAAGAGAATGGAACTCGTGTAAGTGGGGTGTTAAATATATATGTAAATATAAAAACAACTGTTAAGCTGTACCGCACTCATGTAAGGAAGATATGAGATACGATATTATAGTTTTACACGAAGACAAGTAATTATTTAAATTAATTATATTATTATGGTAATATTTAACCATAAATTTTTGCACTCATCTCACTTTATTGAAACGCGATTTCACCACCTCAGGGTGGTGCAGTATCACACTTTCTTATGAAAAATGCTAATTTATATTTTCTGTCTGTAGCTTCAGTATTCGTACTTCACATCCATAAACGTGTGAAATGACATTTTGTTTTTTAAAGTGCAGTGGCACTTAATCTTTTTTCTCAGTTCAAATATTTGCATATCTGTCATAAATCACGATTTATTTGTTTCATATATTCGCACAAAGCTATGCAAGTGTTGTCTGCGATGTAGGTTTCTAATTATGAACTAACAGACTCGAGGGAAGTCAACAAGCTAACAACACCCATCTTCATCTCCTGAGCTACTGCAATCTAATAGTGGGATTCTTCCGTCAATCTACAACAGAACCACGGTTCCAAATTGCGGAACGTGAGATTGTGGCAATAAAACGCGAACCATGGATCCTCAGATCTAAAATCTGGCATCCTAACCCATAAACCATGTTTAATCAGCAGGTTTTAATCAAGTTAATTTAATAAACTTAATGCCAAAGAATAATACTTAAGGAGTGCTATATAAGAACAAACGTTGGTGTATCTTAAGTAAACTGACCTAATTCAAAAATAAATTATTATAGTCTTCAATTATTAGTTTCAGCCGTGTTTTGTAAGTCACTTAGATTCTAGTTGAATATTATATAATATAATAAGGTTTCATATTAAATTTCTAATATATAATATTGTATTGAATTGAGCTCTTGCATCTCAAATGAAGCAACAGTTTTGAAATTAATATTAGTACGGTAGGAGATCGATGACTTTTAATCAAAATACTAGTGAATTTTACTCATTTTTGTGCGTGTTAGTATATACATGTATGTGATCATATGTTGCATATATAAGTATGCATTTTCTTGTTACTTGAATGTATTTGGAAGAAATCTATATTTCTTGATCAATCTACTTGAGCTAATAGAGTCTATAACACATTAATTGTTCAAACAATTCGCAAAGAAATTTATATTTCTTGATCAATCTACTTGAGCTAATAGAGTCTATAACACATTAATTGTTGAAACAATTCGCAAAGAAATTTATATTTCTTGATCAATCTATTCAGCTAATAGAGTCTACAACACATTAATTGTTGAAACAACTCGCATTTCGCAATCTTAATACAAAGCTGATTAAAGTATTGTAAAATATTTAACAATGCTCTACTTTCGAAAAAGTATACTTTCTTTCAGTAATAGGGCCCGGCCTGGCCAGGTGGTTAGGGCGCTTGACTCGCAATCCGAGGGTTGTGGGTTCGAATACCGTCCCACCAAACATTCTCTTTGAGCTGTGGGGAGCGTTATAATGTTACGGTCAAGCCCACTATTCGTTGGTAAAAGAGGAGACCAAGAGTTGTCGGTGAGGGGTGATGACTAGCTACCTTCCTTCTAAGTTTGGGACGGCTAACGCAGATAGCCTTTGTGTAGTTTTGCGCGAACTTCAAAACAAACCAAACTTTCATTAATATTTTGTAATATTAAGTTAACGTAAAGGAACATGAGTTCATATTATTTTGTTTATCCTAATTTTAGAGTATTTATCAAGCATTTATATCACAACCTTATAAAGTAGCAATAGGATGTCTAATGTTTTTTTTTTGTTGTTGTTTTAATTTGATCCATGACGATGCAGGTACTAATGTTTTATATATAGATGCTTCATGAAACTTTCGTCAATATATATTGCATTATTTGTAATTCTATTGCTACCAAAGTGCCATATAAAAAGAAGAATTATATACAGTTTAGGATTCCCCTATGATTTATTACATCTTATCTAAAACTCCTAATTCTTGATCAAGATCAAAATGAAACCAAATGAGTTTATTATTAAATTTGGAAGTCTCGTGTAACATGAAGCGAGTTATT